ATATAAGCATTGCACTGTATTCAATGGCAAGCTATCCTGGATTCCAGAGCCTTCAGTTAATAATAAATTGAAATATCGTGAAGGCTCTGGTTCAACGGGAGGTTTCTTTGATTAAACTGTGCCAATCACAAAACAGAATTAGCAGTTTTAGTACAGATTTTGGGCGTGTTAACCCATTAAGCGCCAGCGTTCTCCCCTTGACGAGTAAACAGGGTTCGAGATTTGCGGTATCCTAGTAACCTGACGATACCAGATTTCAGTTTTGGATACCAAATGTCATAACCTTGGTATCCTAGCTGGATACTAAGTAAATTGTTGATGAAATACCAAAATATGGCTATTAGTTAAAGAATACAAAATATATAAAGTAAAGTATTGTATATACCAAAAGAAACCGAGAACATTCAAGCATTTGTTTATCATAATTTACGAATTTCGAAACGGTAAAAATTAAAAGTAGGATTAAGGTTGTATATACACATAGGCACGTGCCTGCAAATGGCGCGTGTGTCAGGCTATAATTGTCAACATCCATCCAGAAATCCTTATATGGTCATATTATTTACAAATTGTGCGGCCTCCTGTTTCGGTGTTTGTTGCTTTTTTAGGCATGTTGTAAAAGACGGACTGGACTGGACTGGACTGGACCGGACTGGACTGGACTGGACCGGGAAAACGCGGACTGAGTCCGTGTTTTACAAATCGCGGACTGAATTTGTAAAACACGGACTGGACTGGACTGGACCGGGAAAACACGGACTGAGTCCGTGTTTTACAAATCGCGAACTAAGATTTGTAAAACGCGGACTGAGTCCGTGTTTTACAAATCGCGGGTTGCAATTTGTAAAAGGCGGACTCATTTCCTGACAAACATCGAAGTGACTCAGTCGTAAAGATTTTGGCGGGAATTTGCACTCAGTCGTGAGAGTTTTGGCGGGAATTGCGGATAATAGGTCGGTCAAGGAATAATCATATCCTGGACCTAAGGTTGGTAGAAATTACTATTATTTATTTATTGTTTTGAATAAACTGATGAACAGCGTTCAATCTTAGGAGCACGCCTTTCGTGTGGGACTTTGTGCCACTATTGTCGAGGAAACTCATGCGTATAATATCAAATGTGGCCGTTTCATGTAAATATAGTTGTATGCCGACTGCATAGATATAGCTATAGGGGCGATAACCCCCCCCCCAATACGAATCATGTGGATTGGCAGGGCAATCAAAGATTTTAAATGATAGAATGTAGAGTTAAGTAATTTACAGGGCTTTCAGAGGGAATTTATAGAATTTATATTCGGGTCCAAAAATAAGGGTTTAAGCCATGTTTTAACAGGAATTGGCAGACACCCCCGAATTAAAAGGGGCTAGTTTCGCCCCTGGGTCAGTATAGCTCTTATAGCAGATACCATTTAGTATTATTCATAATTAGCCTTAAACTGATAGAGTTAATTTGTTTATTTTGTGTTCGTGGCGAAGAGAGTGTATTACACCCGTTTTCAAAATTACGCGACCAAGGTCGAAAATCTCTGGTCGAAAATGCTAGAGTTGACATGTCAGTTTTATGTCATTCGGTCACGAAGTTTAAACTTTGAGTTTTCCCGTTCCTTGTCGATGTATATGCTTATTATGCTTTATATAAATAGGCTTACAATGATTTTCAAGATATTTTAGTGCGAATTATTGCAAAATTTAAGCACAAACAAAATCATATAAACATCACCGTTATAGTCTACCGCGCGTATTTTAACTGACAGCTAAATTCCAGGATAAATTGTTAGTTTTCAAACTTTAAAAGTTATTCACGACATATATATTTCTGTTGTGATGGTTTGTATTGTGCTTTAGTTTGTATATCTAAGTTATCTAACTCAGCGGCGGCGGAACAGATTTACAGCCTGGGGGGGCTAAATTTTTTTCCGTGACCCCCCCCGTCGCCAAAAAAATTTCGGTCAGTGTACCATTTTGGGGGTACAAAAATTTTTCCAGACATACACAAGAAAAGGGATGAAAAAATTTTTTCCGCACACATAACAAAACATTTTTCCGTAAATACACAATTTTTGAACAAAATACGGCAAATTTTTCCCCTTATACATAAATTTTCAAAAATTAACCTAAATTTTTCCTTAATTATCAAAGTTTTCCAGAAAAAACTAAATTTTCTGGGGGGGCTAAGCCCCCCCACTTTTACTTCTGGGGGGCTTTAGCCCCCCTAGCCCCCCCTGTTCCGCCGCCCCTGAATTCTAACTCATTTTTGTTCAGTTTTGGTATTAAATACGGTTTAAAATGTCTTTTGACAGTTTGTTTACGTTTGCTATTTTTAGCAGTTTTCGTGACATAAAACTGACATTTGAAGGGGAAAGTACAAAACATGGACCCCCAGTCCATGGACCCCTTGTCTGGACCGGGTCCATGGACCCCTCTATGGACCGGGTCCATGGACCCCCTCCATGGACCGGGTCCACGGATGCGCGATTTCTCAATGACCCCATCTATATATGAATGAATGTTAACAGGAATTTTGAATACACCTGAAAATAAATAAGATAATAAATAAGAAAATAAATAAGAGAAAACAAATTTACTTGCAAGGTCAAAATGTTCTATGCAGTAATTTGTTCCAAATAACACTTATACATCCAGCTGGCTAGTGCACAGCTCACAAAAATGTATTAATCGAAGCAAATCAAATTGCTGATTATGAACAGTGCCTTTAGTAGACCACTTTCATAAAGAGACAAATTGAAACACTTTTTTGTATATTGAAGCAAGAAGGCTAATTAAGATGCACAATCAATGAAAGTGGTTTATTATTTCAACACTTTGCTGGCAGTGGTTTCTTTAATTTCATAGGCTGTGATCATTGACCGGCTTTGCAAGTCAGTATAACACTATTATTATTCACATGGTGCATTGATTTGTCATGATATGTCGTTAGCAAGCCTCGCTTTAGTATGAAGAAAACGCTGGAACAAAAGTATGCATTAAAACCACTAAAATGTTTTTAAAAATTGAAAACTCGAATCATGTTTAACAGTAATATTGAAATTTGGAAAAATGCGGCACATGGAGGGGGTCCATGGACCCAGTCCATAGAGGGGGTCCATGGACCCAGTCCAGACAAGGGGTCCATGCACCGGGGGTCCATGTTTTGTACTTTCCCATTTGAAGTAAGAGTACTTTTCAGGGAGGTCGCGTAATTTTGAAAACGAGTGTATATATAAATTTGCGAGAAATATGCGAATTGAACACTATAATCGAATAGCGATTTTTAGAAACTTCCTCGTACGACAACAATAAAAGTTGAGAAATTTAAATTTATTGTAATTTATATGCACAACACTACCTTTGATGTTTTGATGGCCTGCGAGAGTTTCCCCGTTTAATAAAACAAATATTTGAAAGGTAAATTCGATTAGAGTATTCATTTCATATTTCTCGCAAATTTGTAGACACCTTTATTTAATACGTCCTCTTCCCCACGAACACAAAATAAACGAATTAACTCTATTTTCGTCTAATTATGATTAACACTAAATGGTATATCTGCTATAATAAGAGCTATACCTATACAGGCATACAATTATTTACATGAAACGGCCACATTTGGAGCATGAGTTTCCTCGACAATAGTGGCACAAAGTCCCACATGACTAAGCGTGTTCCTAAGATTGAACGCTGTTTATTCAAAACAATAAATAAATAATAGTAATTTCTACCAACCTTAGGTCCAGGATATGATTATTCCTTGACCGACCTATTATCCGCAATTCCCGCCAAAACTCTCACGACTGAGTGCAATTCCCGCCAAAACCTTTACGACTGAGTCACATCGATGTTTGTCAGGAAATGAGTCCGCCTTTTACAAATTGCAGCCCGCGGTTTGTAAAACACGGACTCAGTCCGCGTTTTACAATCTTAGTTCGTGATTTGTAAAACACGGACTCAGTCCGTGTTTTCTCGGTCCAGTCCAGTCCAGTCCGTGTTTTACAAATTCAGTCCGCGATTTGTAAAACACGGACTCAGTCCGCGTTTTCCCGGTCCAGTCCAGTCCGGTCCAGTCCAGTCCAGTCCAGTCCAGTCCGTCTTTTACAACATGCCGAAATGTTTGGGGGAATTGACTCAAGTGTCAAACACTGAATCAGTTTCCTCAAACATTTCTTACAAATCCTTCAAAACTTACAATTTACCAATGCAATTTTCCAAAATTTATCGGCAATGCAAAATTCCAAAATTTACCGGCTGCAAAATTCCAAAATTTACAAATGTAAAATTCCAAAATTTACAAATGCAAACTTCCAAAATTTACAAATGCAAAATTCCAAAATTTATCAATGCAAAATTCCAAAATTTACCAATGCAAAATTCCAAAATTTACCAATGTAAAATTCCAAAATTTACAAATGCAAACTTCCAAAATTTACAAATGCAAAATTCCAAAATTTATCAATGCAAAATTCCAAAATTTACCAATGCAAAATTCCAAAATTTACCAATGTAAAATTCCAAAATTTACAAATGCAAACTTCCAAAATTTACAAATGCAAAATTCCAAAATTTATCAATGCAAAATTCCAAAATTTACCAATGCAAAATTCCAAAATTTACCAATGCAAAATTTCAAAATTTACTAATGCAAAATTCCAAAATTTACCGGCTGCAAAATTTCAAAATTTACAAATGTAAAATTCCAAAATTTACAAATGCAAAATTCCAAAATTTACAAATGCAAAATTCCAAAATTTACAAATGCAAAAACTGTGATCACAGAAACTTTGATGGTATAAACCAGCCTTAGTAGTAACAACTAACAAGACGTGTTTGCAACAAAATGTTGAAGCACGTATGAACTTGTCACCAACAAGCTTGTTACAAGTTTGTTGAATCATCAAGCTTGCTGCTGACTTGCAACAATTTGTCAACAAGCTGGCAAAAAAACAGGACGGACACAACTTGATATCAACTTGTTGCAATCTTGCAACAAGTCTGCTTCACGCAAGTAACGCAAATTTCACATTGCGAACATGAAACAACATAAAATATTATTTAACAGTTGTCAGTTTATTTTTTGCTCGTTCATAATAACCGTTAACACTATAGTCTCTAATGTAGAACTAATATTTCTTATATAAATATACAATTGTATATACGAGCAAAACACGCATTATCTTACGCAATGTAAGTCTCTGAATAACGAAACAATATATATTTACAAAAAGCACCACGTCCATATCTAAAATGTAGATACTATATAGTTCAGCTGCTAATATGCAACAACGTCTAGCGATTTGAGTCAAACCCTGCCCTTTCACCAAACAAAATATTAAATTTGAAATCCCTTAAAAATGAATGCCGCGGATCAAACGAGAATGAAGGTGCATGAGAGATGGAAGTTACGCGATCTTGGTTGGCTGTTCTTCTCTATGCTTTCCCAACACTAGCATGTACTTTATTATTTAAGTGAGGCGAAGTTGGAACACTCATCAATCTTTTATTTTGTTAAGCCAGATGTCGACTTCTCGTTTGACCACGGCTTTAGGGAGCAGTCAATAGAGAGTTTGGCAAATACAAGGGCAACGGCAATATGGTCATCAACAATAGCATTGATCCTCAAAGACAAAGGCGAATGTAAATTACATGGTCTTAAGCGTTGTGCAATGCCGTAGTTGTTGAAACTAGTACGTGATTTGCATCATTTTCACGGCGCATGACTACGGCAACAGTTAATTCGTTCGATGTTATTTGAGGTGTTTGATTTGAATTCGCGGACTATTTTTACTTAAGGATACGTTTGAAAGAAACAGGAATACTTAAAGAGGCAAATTAAGTGTAGTAACGTACACTTTGGCTCAAATACAACAATATAAGCAATTATATTTTCCCCGTTGCCGTTCTAGGTTGCCAAACTCTCTAATATTTATGGCGGGCGTGGCACTGAAGAGAAATGTTTTTCTTGGCAGAAATGTTGCTGATCCAAGCATTAAAAAGTTAAAAAAAATTTTTTTACCCAACCTCAAATATCAATTAAAAAATAAATACCCACGCCTGGCCAAAAACGTAACAAAAGAATACCATTCAGTTGTCACACATGTCCTTTGCCACTTCTGTGACATGAGTTTGATAACTGCTTGTGAAATTTTCTGCAGTCTAAAGTTTCATGTTGTCTGCACATGTACTTTCTTTGGAGACACCATTTGCCTCCTGACAAATCAGAAAGTGATCATGATAAGTGATTGATTTACATATTGTATTGACATATGACTGTTGACATTGCTTTTTAGTCTTCAATATTTGAGTGAGTCATGCTTTGGAAATGACAATAGATTTGTATTACCCAATCCTTGAGTTGTTTTGTTTTTCATTCACCCAAGATTTTACTCACTCAAAATTTTGTTTACCCAACCCTTTTCTCTTTGGTGCCACCCCCCGCCATAATTAATGATCGCTTCCTTATTTCGAATATGAAAATTACATTGTGTTTTCCATGGGATAGCAACGAATTACTTTGGTGGAAACAGGCTTTATCAGCATTATTCCTCACTACCACAGAACCAAAATGTAACCAGACAAATCACAGTTCGTAAACGTAGCTGCCAGAAAAAGTTTGAACCTCATCGAAACTTTTTCGATGGTGCTGATATATCTTTGATAAACTACTAAATATTTTTCAGACATTTTCAGGCTGTAATGGTTCATTCAATACTGCTGGTGCTTTAACGCAATCAACGCACCAATGATGGTTACTTTGTCTAACGGCAGACGACTCAATTTCATTTTATTTTACAGCCTGAGAATGTCCCGAATATTCTAGCTCCTAATTCTTAGCATCCTCTTATTACATTTTCACAGCATTACCGTTTCACTTATAATGAACATATAACAACAAAACCTTCTACATCGCTGTGACCTTGACAGATAACTGCACCGATGAATACACCTGGAATGAAAAAAGTACAAATTAATTTTTGTTTGTGTAACATACTGTATGTAAATCAGTCTTTGCTGATTTAAGAGATATATCGACACTCTATTACACTGACCTACGTCATATGTTTGTGACTATCACAACTCAATGCAAATCAACTATAAAATAGACCATAAAAAGAAAAATATACTAACCATATAGATTTGTGTTCTTGCATCTCAATTTTTAATCGAACTCTGTCATTCTCGTCATATAAGACACGCAGCTCTCCATCGAACCATTCGACGAAGCGTCATCACCATCATCAGGATTACCATCAACGTCGTGCTGGTTGGCATTAAACCATCGATACAGAGACAATGAATCCACGATAAACTTCGAATGAAACTGTTCTTTAGTGTGATCTGAGATAATCAGTGGCGGATTAAGATCTTCTTCCAGGACCTTCGTAACAATTAAACAATTCTTGTTTATTGCTGTCTGAATACCTTCATTAAGTTTTGGATTCCCATGACTTCCTGATACTCGAGGGAACAGCGCAATTTGGAAATCCTTCAGGGTGGATAAAGATAAGTTACTGTGATTGTTCTGTACGAGATACTGGCGCAGTTGTTTAAGGTGTCGTACAATCAGAAGTTTCACCTCAACTTGTGAGTAACCGCAACCAAGTTGACATAACCAAGGCATGTCTTTGGAAAACGTTGCAGGATAAACGTCCACATTAAGACATCTTTGAAACAACATATTGATGAGAATATCATTTGTTATTGAGGGTTCATGGTTTAATATCCTCTGCCATACATCACCGTTCAACATTACCCCTCTCGATTCCATCTCTTCTAGGGTTGTACGTGCTTCGTCCTCTTGACGGTTTGTTAGACAGAGCTTGAGAAACTTCTCATACAGTGACTGACACGCGGGAATGTTCAAATCAAAACCATTCTCGTTCATTTCAGCAAGCACATCAAATGATTGGTCGAAATCTTCAATGCTGGCGTAATAGTTCAAAACTTTCACATACAGTGGGACCATGACATTGTGGCTAGCCTTCAGATGTTGAAGAATCTCATAAGCTTCAGAGATATTTCCTTGATCAAATAACTGAGTGAAAACGTGTTGCAACACTTTAATTCTGTACTCCATATTATCTGGAGTGATATTATCCTCAGGCATTGCATAGTTGCTCGCTCGTAACACCTCCAACGCGCCAAGAAGACCATCATCTTGCGACACACCCGTGCATAATTTGACAGCAATAATTGCTACAGCTGAGGGGGGAATATTTCTGGTATATGCACCAAAGTTTTTACCGCAATCAAAATAACTGATGTTGTGTGCATGTAGAGTGTGTAATATCTCATAACCCTTGTCAAACTGCTTGGTAACCAAACATTTCTCCATCAGACTTACAGCAAGTGAGCCAAGAAACTCGATATCGTAGTGGTCAAACAGGGAATTATTTCCAGAACCCGAGCTTGAACTTTTCACTGAACCTTTTTCTTTATGAATAAAGTCTACAAACTCGCTGAAGTTTGAACCAACAATAGAGACATCTTTCAGAAAAACATTTCTGAAAATTCTCAAATCACTTGCTTGCACAGTTCTGTTGTTTGCTTGCTTGCATTCGACAAAACTTAGGTACACTTCTGGCCAATCTTTGGATGCGACGGCTCGGTCAACACGTTGCTGCGCCTCGGAGATAACATTGTTGTTGGTGTCACTACTAGGGTTGGGTTGCTGAAAGCGGGGTAATGGAGATCGAGGTACACTGTTGTTGGTAGGCTCCCATGAGAAGCTTCGATTCAGCTTAACCTTGTCAGGAGTTGCTGCTCTTGGAAACATTAGAGCCATCGGCTTGTTCAGGGGGGGTTGGGAAACAGCAAATCTAGGGGTGGGGTTTACACTCCTTGGCTGAAATCGATTCAGAAATGGAGGTCTGGTAGATATTGCTTGGCGACAGGAAACAGGCTGTGGAACTCGGAGTGGTGGTGGGATGTGGTTTGGGATTGGACTGAACATCGGCACAACAAATGAAGGATGTTGAAATGATGGAAACGGGTGGGTACCATGACCATTGACCATTGTCGTGTTTGTACTAGTGCTTGCTTGTGTCTTTGTGTTAACTTGTTGCTTACCCTCACTTCCGTCAGATTTACGACACTCGCCAACACTCTGGGGACTGGAGGTGTCCGAACTCGGTCTCAAAAACTGCGGCCTTTCATCAACTACATGAGAGTACTTGCATCTATCACCATAATGACACCGTCCTGTTTTCACGAAGGAAAAACAGCGACCAAATTGAAACTTGTTGGCTTCTCTCTTTTGAGGCAGGTTTAAAGGTGGTGTGGATCTTGGTTCTTTCATAACCGACATTTTAGCCTGGCGCAGTGCAGCGTAGACTTCAACTGATGCTGTCATATTCTCATCCCAGTTTTCCAACACGTCGACCATCTTCTTAAGCGTTGTTACGGACAACGACACTGATGAGCTTTCACACTTCAGAAACAAACTATAGACCAGACCGAAATCTTTCATGGATGATGCTTTCTCAATAAACTGATGCAAGACTTCCTTTCGAGGCAGAGAACCATTTTTGACAAGATCCCTAATGTGGGCTTCAACATCACGAAGGTTCAGACTTTGATCAGCAAAAATAGTACCAATGTCAAACATTTCGTTTGTGCACTTCAAGTGGAACAAATCTAAAAGCTGTTTAGTACATTTTGTATCTCGATAGAGATTCAATAATTTTGTAATGGACTGATCACTCATCGGGATACAATGTTTATTCATAATATTCTGAACTTGCATTGCACCTTGGACATTGGGGGGGACACTGAGCATGGAAATCAATGTATCCCATTGGCTGGGGATTATTTCTCGCAGCACATCAGCCGGGGCAGAAACGAGGGACAACAGACAATTATTAAAAATATATGTTGGATTAGAGAAGTTAAACCTTTTGATATATGGTAGAAGTTCAAAAATCCACTTCAAGTTTGTCCTGAAACACTTGAGTAAATCATTAAAAAAATGTACAAGGATCTCCTGAGGTGGGAATATTCTTGCTTCGACCATTTCCAATATTTTATCAAATGCTTCTTGAAACTTACCACAACGACATAAAGTTAAAACTGTCAGAATATATGACACAGGTTTCATTGCTTGTCGACGTTTGAGCATTTGAAATACACCAACGGCAATCTCTGCTACCACTGGAGTGGGTGCTTTTATACTGACCGACTCACAGACTTTCAAAGTTTCTTCCACTAACCGTACATCAATAACAGACTTTGAGTCTTCCAACTCTTTCAAAACTAACCAAGCTTCCTGAATATTCTTAGCCCCCAAATTACGATGAATGCTACGTAATTTCTCTTGGACTGAAAATCCATTTATGAAAGGCTGTCTTTCGTTTGATACAACTCTGGTGGGTTTCGGGGGATGGTGGGAACCACAGAAAAAAATATTTCCAGGGGGGTCACTTCCATTTCGGACAGAATTTGACCTATCACTTTCAGCTTGAGATTTTATACAGCTTTCACCTGTAGTCCGTTTTGGGAAACTGTTATTATTCTTCCTTGTTTCATTGAAGTCTTGCTCTGAATTCCGACGAGGAATTCTAAATGACTTAGACGTGGGTTTGCTTGTAATAAGATCACCCACCGAGTGTTTATGATTGGCTTGTGTTTTTTTTACCAAACTTCTGAGGTTACCACGGTTACTTGTTTCTTCCGTCGTGCTAAAAATGCTATCTTGTGAAACAGTACGTTTTAATGGACCGTTTGGTTTATCCTCGTGAAATAGCTCGTCATCATCCGCAATAACGGACATGATGTCCAATGAGTCATCGACAAACAAGTCTGAGGTAGCACTCTTTTGGAGGGCAATTGTAGTCTGGGTGTTGTGTGGGGGCCCCAAACGAGAATGGACATCACACTGAGTGTTTGTTTGAACTTTTTTGACATGTTGTTTATGGCTAGGTGTTTTGACATGTTTTTTACCAAGGTGCATGTTCTGTTTTTTGCAAGAGGTAGTCTCTGTACTTGTTGGTTTCAACATTATAATCACACGAGAATTTGCGATGGCAGTTTTTGCCTCATTATCGAAGTCGTCGTCAGATTGGGCCCCCAGGGATAATGCAGGTGACGGCGGGCTATCGAGAGGGGATGGTGGCTGTGATGGTGAGGGTAAAGCAGGATCAGCTTTTAGGGCCTCAGTGTCAGGTGATCGAATTGGGCTGACTTTACGCTTCTTTGATGCATTCAAATTGGATAAATGCATTGGGCTAATCTTTCGTTTCTTTAGAGGAGTGCCCTGTGATGGCTGTGTAAACAAGGTATAAGTCCCTGTCTGTCTAAGGGCATCCTGTTTGTGTTGTGTTTGCCCAATGACTCCGTTTATACCACTGTTTGAAAGCAGTTTATTTTGATTTGTAAAATGACGTTTATATTCATCCTGTGATATACGTCTGAGCTCAATACTGGGTAGTAACAATGGTCCATTATTTTCCCGTTTTATAACAGTACGTGTATCTGAGGTAGTGCTCGCATGCGCTGGCCTTACAGGACTTGCGTTTGCAGCTAGTGAGCGTTCACTTAGATCTACAGCACTTGCAGGCATAGGGCTTGTGATAGACGTATTCTCAACCACAGAGTTTAATATATTAACACTTACTTCTGTGCTGGGTTTAACTGGACTCTTGCTATCTTCTTTCGCATTCTTTATCTCGTTCAAAGTCTTCGCATGAATCGTAGGTTTTGCCGTAGACTCCGTGTTGAAAATACTGCGATTTAATTTGATCCTTCGCGCAGGACGTGCGCTTGAATTCGCAGTTAAATTCTTGGCCACCTTTCGAAAACCTCTGCGTTTCACTGGACGATTTTCACTCGTTTCCGCAACTAAACGAATATCTGTACTCCCTGAAGGCACAGTCAAGTCTGGCTTGACTGTCTCGCTGCCTTGTGTAAGTATAAAACGACTATTCATGTTTAAAAACACACAAAATTACGACGCCATGTTTTACCAATAGGTCAACCATGTGTTCTATCGTCTACTCATGCTCGATCCCCCAGTATTTGCAACATCTCACACCCTACGAAGATACTACGACGTTTGTCGATCACTTCCGATAACATTTTTGCGGCAAAATTTTCAGATTCGGCATGCTCTTTTTCGAATATTTCACGTAAATATTCTAAATATGTGAAATGCTTTAATACAAACTTAGTTTTAAGACGTGTTTTGGCCTGGCAAGAACGTTTTAACAAATTTCAAAGGTTGTTTAGACATATCCGGCTGCGTGCTTTTGAAATAGCGCGGCGGAAACAGCTAGGATACATTTACATACCATAATAGTTAAGCTCGGATTTCTAGAGCAACACGTGCAGGGCGCTTATATACACTGGCACGGCATGAAAACTCCGCGGACAAAGTTGAAAACTCGTTTTTTGGTAGACGTACCATGGTTTTTCAATACAAACATTCGAAAACAGAGACAACTTTTTTTCTACTAAAGCCTATCCTCCGTGTGATGCCAACAAAATCTTGATATTTACCCATAACAGTATATATGCATGAACTTGTTGTTACAGCTCAACAACTGACTCTGTAGCTTAGTTTATAGAGAGTTTGAGCATGGAACGAAGTCGGACGACGACGACGTGTTGACAATTTTTGCCTGTCTTGAACATTGTCTTGCGCATTCTGAGTTTAGGGTCTGGAGTGAAGACAAATTAGAGATTTATGGTCAGTATTCATAAACAGCGACACATGGGAAGACACGTTGAGCAACCACCAGTGACGTCCTACACAGTATGCACAAGATAATGTGCAGGCGGCAAAAATTGTCAAGTATGCCTTCGTCTTCGTACTTCGTATACTTGTCTTCGCAAGACAACGGGTCTTGCTCAAACTCTCTAATATATAGAGCGCTGCACCGGAATCGCAGGGACCTATAGTTGCATTTTTCGCAGCTGTTTTAAAGGCCCATTTCCTCTCAAGAAAAATTTCCACGGACAGAAAAAATATCATTGCTAAAAGTTGAAAATTTTCACTGAATAAAAAGTTTTCCCACTGAATATTTGTGTCGACCAATCACATTTTACAAAATTATCTTTCAGCGGAAAATTTTCCTTAGTGGAAATGGGCCTTTATAAATGTATATAAATTTCCTGACCCGATAATTTCATCTACAATCTTCGTTATCTTCCATTCGATAGGCTATGGTTGATTAGAGCGCTCCACCAAATATAATATTTTAGGCTATTATACAAGACATCCTCGCAACACTTATCTGGTACCCAATTTTTCTTGAGAAAAGTTTTCAAGTTGAACAATCATATATATATATATATATATATATATATATATATATATATATATATATATATATATATATATATATATATATATATATATATATATATATATATATATATATATATATATATATATATATATATATATATATATATATATATATATATATATATATATATATATATATATATATATATATATATATATATATTATATATATATATATATATATATATGATTGATCTAAACTGTTGATCTAAACTGTGATCTAAACTGTGCAATTGCTGGCTAAACTGGCGTATAACGCCGAATTTTTTACTGTAGCTAACACCCTGATTTTCTAGGTCTGATGGCAGGCTTAATTGCAGCTATCATTGCAATTGGGGAAAAGCCAGCCAACAGGAATAGAGCATTCTTCATTTTCTAATTTTAAAAACTCAGGAATATAATATTTAATGAAAAAGAAATTTTAGATACAATAATGTCGGGACCAGTCTATATGCAGGACAAAGTACAGCCAAAGTACAGTTTAAACATGGTTTGGAAGTTCAAATTTCAAAGAGCTACATAGCCATATGTTAACAGCATTCAACGCGGTATCTAGTAAATCATTGGCCTGAATTTTGTTTCACCTAAAACTGTCACCAAAACTGTTGCAAGTAGACATGTTGTGTGTTTGATTTACACAGTACAATTCAAGTTGTAAGCAGGTTGCATGCGATAGTTTTAGGTAAACGTTGTGTAGTGTAAATCTGCTTTAAAGTATACAAACTGGAACGTAATCTATGACTTTCAAACCATGTTTAATTTTTAGTAACTGTGTATCCTGTTATATACAGCATATTTGGTATAACAAGCATTTACTGAATTATGGTGCTGCATGCTTTGACAGGTTGAGCAATAAGACAGTCGAGAAAAAACAAAGCACACAAGTTAGAATCCATGTACTTCACATTTCAAAAAATTATTTGTGTTTCTTGTGTGTGATTTTAAACCATGCACATACAAAATTTTTCAATTGGAAAAAATGTTGATATTATGACCAGCATTTTGTGGTCCTTTACATATGTAATAGCCTAGACAATGAACATGTATTTTATTACTCAACCTCATTTTTTGCAGAGGATATTATATAGTTCAAATTTCATTGAACTGTCATAAAGCAAATGTAAAGTCACAAGCATTATGAAAGGAATTTAATCTAATTATTTATTCAGATCTTGTCATGTGTGGCGAACCTTTCCTGGTGTATAATTCTTGTCAATCGTTGAATCTTGTAAAAACATGTGTAAGCATTTCTCATTCTGTGCTAATGGATGGCCTGCAATCCTGAAAGATTTCAATTATTGTAATTTATATGATTTTTAATTTATTACCAGTGCACATGGGTCTCATTCTTATGCTTGTGGGAATTACCCAGGGGCAGATCTACCAGGTGTGTAGGGAGTGCACACCCCACCTAATGGTGTCTAACATCCCCCTAGAGAAGTCCAGCACCACTCTAAAAAAATCAAATCTCCTAGACTATACATTTTCTGCTTTTTGAAAAGTGATTAGCGGATCTTCTACTGTTAGCGTGTGTCGATTTCTTGAAACAATTTAATTGATTTGTGAGCTCACGAGAAAATACTCAGAATTTAAATATCATGGTTAAATATGTAAACATGTCAAGGTTGGGCCAAAAAAAAAATATGTGGGTTTCCGGTTTCTTCTTATAAAAACTTAGGTAGGGTAGGTCGGTTTTAACTTTTTTTTTAAACTTTTTTTTTAATTTTCCGAACAACCGGACGCCATTTTGTTTAGTCGGTGCTTCCACATCCAAAGATAAATTTCCCTAATATTGCCTCAAATTTCAATTTTCCACAAACTTTTTCCTCTAAGTGGAAACACTTACAAGCGTGATCCAATAAAAAAGTTTAGGGTCGGCATTTCGACGTCCAAAAGCTAGGTAGGGTCGGGAAACCGGAAACCCACATATTTTTTTTTTTGGCCTTGTTATACAGCCATATTTTCAAATGTTAACAAGCATATTTACTATACTGTGTGGTAAAAAGGCTTTATAAACTTTATAAACAAAAGATAAACATAACAGACTGGCAAACAAGCAGATTCAGCCATCTCAAATAATGGTAATGTTGAGATAGTAGCATTGCAGACTGCAGAAGAGAGTGGGCTGTAAGGCTCCCTCATACACCACCCCATGGAAAACCTGCACCCCTCCTTGCAGATGAGCCCAACACTGCAGTGAAATTCGACAATATTGTTGTTTAAACTTAATTTCTAGTTACCTGTTTACAAATGCCTCCAGCCCCTGTCTTCTTTCCTCAATAAACTCGTCTTCAAATATCCCTGAAATAAATAACATGAAACAATGATTGATCAAAAATAACCGTCGTCACTGCAGGAATAGGAGTATATACATGTGACTCACTAACCATCATCGCCTCGAAATGGTAGCATTCTCTTCAAGGCTTTGCCAGGCAGAGGTGGTACCACAATCTAAGATAGAAAATCATTAAATCTAGTTACTTTTTAAGCAATAAAAAATCCTAACCTTTATACCTTATTTGTACTTAATTTCACACATACTTAATTTTGTGACTTTTCCAAGACAATATTTTGCTAGACTTCATTTTCGCGATTTTGAAATGGGAAAATAGAAAAACGGCCGATTAAATTTCACGAAAGCTTTCTGACCAAACATTTTATTTCTATAAAAATCTGAACTACATTACTTTTGAAAGAAGTATATTACTATCTATATGGTAGTCCATAATGTTTTTACCAGGGCTCAAATTTTATCGCAGCAATTGCCGTAGAGGGAGAACAAAATGCTGTGGATCATTGCGGCAACGACGGCAATTTTTTGCCGTATAGTGCAATTTTTATCTTTGATACTTGAATTCAGATGTTGATCAAATCATGTGTAAATCACTATTTTAGTCTCAAAATGCCGTGGAAACTGCCAAAATTGCCGTAGACAGCTGTTACGTTCCACGGCAATTCTTAACGCCATTGCCGTCGATTGATTTCAGGGAAATTCGAGGCCTGGTTTTTACTCATCTTTATTGCCGGCAACAAGACAAAATGCGGATTGTAGCTTAATACTATTATTAAATCATTTGTTATTTATGTCGATATATGAGCTGTACAGTACATGCTGTTGATCATACTTGTCAAGAATTTTACGATTCAAATTTTTGATCGGGGTATTTAATTTTGCATGTGTAAATTTTGTGAGCTTTATTATTTGCACAACTTTAATCTTTTAATCTTTTTATTGCATTTTTGAGAAAGCTATTTTATACCTTACTATCTCTCTCGAGTTCAGCTTTCAACCATTCAAAGTCACTGTAACGTCGACGAACTGACGAGTTCTTTAATTTGAATATAGGTAGGTTTGACTAAACATAGAATTAATTGAATTACTTGCATATAACCGACACATTCTTCAGCCTAGGGAGGACATTTGCACTCTCTGCAAAGGGGGAATCTACTTTAGATATTAAATAGTACCATGTAATAGGATGTCATATGTACTTTAAAAGAAACATGTATGTTATATTGATGTAAATATTTGCTAACAAGACAAAACAAATAACAATCAGGCACCTTAAACATAAATGATTTCACATTTTACACCTCAATTAATCAAGGATTAAAAGCATGACGAAATCAGCACAATTGAGTAAATTGAAACATGGAACATTAATTTAAATCACTTTAAATTTATGAAATACACACTTTTATGTACAGGATTATCATAAATAATTAGCATAAACAGGTCTTTATTTACGTGAAAATTACGACAAAATAGTGGATATTTTCTGGCGTAAAGTATTTTTTGTTCCAAATAATGTTGGCTTGCTAAAGCTTCTTGAAAGATAATATACACACGAGTTCAAATTCCAAAATTATTATACAGTATTCCTACCCTCATTCTGACTTCATAGTCCGTATAACGCTTCTTGCCGACACCGTGGGTCTCTGGACTAACCACATCTACTTCTAAAAAGTTCGCAGGGGCTGCATAAGCGTCGTCAAGAGTCTGTTTTGGAGGGTCTAGTCTTTGCCGATCTGCCATTTCCACACGCTTCGCCTTCTCTTCCGGCCAGTCCGGGATCACTGCCTTGGAGACTGGGGCATAGGTTAGCTGTTTCAGGGGGTTGAATGAATGTATATTCACGGAGGGGGGGGGGGATTTTGTTATTTTAAAGAAATCCAAGATGGCGCACCCCACCCGCAAAACCTGATGGGTAAGAGAGACGCTGGTTTCCATTGACTGCATCGCGGGCTCGTAAGTTGGTAAATGAACCTTTTCGACAATAGCAATGCATCGTAATGCATTGTGGTCTAGCCAGAATAAAAGCTACTGAGCTTTTGAAAACATTTCACAAAATTTCATATGGTGGTGAAATTGGTAGGTCAACTCTGAAATGAAAGATAGTTATCTGAAAGAATATGTCTTTCATCGCCTTTATTGTGACTATATTGGTAGTTTGGTATGATATGGACGCTTCTCAGACATCTTTGTAATAATAGGCACACCTCTCAAACATGGACGCCCCCTCTAATACAGACAATTCTAACACGAATACGTCTCTAAAGACTCTAATATTGAAATCTCCCTAACATGGACATCTCTCTAATATGGACATTTCTTTAATACAGGCACCTCTCTAAATGCGGACATCTCTCTAACATGGACACCTCTCTAATACAGACATCTCTCTAATACAGAAATCTCTCCAATACAGATATCTCTCTAAATCGGACACATCTCTACATACCTGTAGATTTTATTTTTGTGGAGGTAGCCAATCTTTAAATGGAGCTGGATTATTCCACATTCTCGAACCCAGAGCCCGTCTTACACACGGTCAATAGAGCATGACAAGGGTCGCGGGGTACGAGAATGAGTTGCGCGCATTTGCCGCAACTGCAGATCAGAATTTAGCCTCTGAACGAGAACAAAATGCCACTGAGGTGTGCCAATGTCATGTTTATGCGCGTACTCTGGGTATTTAAGTCTTAACAAGTGTATGTGTTATTTATTTAATACAGAATATAGAAGTGCATTCTGAGAGTGCATTCTTGCAGTTATTCCAGTTAGTCAGTAACTCCGGGCTTAGATAACATGCTCCAAATTACTTTTGGAGTTAACAACACAGCAAGTAACTTTAACTTGAGTTATACTTAGCTCCAAATGATCTTTGGAGTTAGCCAGTAACTCCGCAATTCATATTTCAACTCAGTTTTGAATTACACAAGTTACTCAAGTGTATATTTTGGTTTGGAGTTAGCCCTTTAGACTTTGGAGGTAGCTCAATAACTTCCTACTTTCTACAGGCATGCATCTCTAATACGAACACTTCTCTCATACGGAAATCTCTCGGATACAGACGCAAAACAAAGAATAAAACGAAACAAATTTTGTTCGCTACATTCAAATTATTTTATTCTGCTACATTTTATGTATATTTTCTACAAAAATACAATCAGATAATTGTGAAGTCTATGGTTCATTTTGTAATAATACAATTCCAATAATTCAATTAAATTTTACACCTCATTATTAACTATGTATATAAAACTGTCTGCAAACTTAAAATTAACAAAAGCATTTTCAGTAATAATTCACTACAACCACATTCTACAAGGTTTAAATAAAACAAATGAGTAGTGTACACTAACTCAACTCAGCTATGTATAATAAACTATTCAACTAACCCAACTAGACGTCATTACCTAAAATTACATTATGACGTCATTATATTATTATTATTGCGGCACCACCATCATGACGCCATCATGAAAATGACGTGTCGTACAATGACGTCGCTATACGACCAATATGTCATTATTCCACAATGATATCACCGTACAACAAATGATGTCATTTCACCGTCAATGACGTCACCATCCAACAATGACGTCTTTCAGCCAAAGTACGACGTCACCATACAACAATGACGTCACCATTCATTATGACGTCATACTATGTACAATGACGTCATCTTCAGCTACAATTCTTCAGAATCTAAAATCAAACATTAGCAGTACGAAACGGACTGCAAACTCTCGCCCTTCTGTATACTACATTCGGTAGCGCTGCTTACAGTACCGTCGCTTTCGTGATGACTCATCAGACTGTCTAAATCACACAGCGGATTGATATAATCTTCTTCGACATCGTCGTCCAACGCCATGGCGGCAAGGACATCGTAGTACGGGTTATCAAATGCCAGTCTGTAACCATTGTGGCGAAAACTTCGCGTCTTTAATTCCATTTCTCTTTCAGCTTCGCGTTGTCGTTTCTTCTCCGATTTCAGTTTCTTTAAATGCCGACGTCGTCTTCGACACATCAAGATGGAAAATGTGAGAAGAACCATGAGAAGTAAACCTAAAATGAAAAGCTCTTGTTAACCAAATGCGAGGGTTAGAAACTAAACTAACTTTACTAACTCAGCTTTACACTATTTTTTTAGAGGTCCAGTTGGGGTCATTTTTATTGGTCCAGTGTCACTACAGCAGGGAACCTAAACTTAACTAACTTTATTTATACTGGATGACTCTATTGGTTCTAAACTGTTTCTTCCAGAGGTCCTGTAAAGCCCCGTTTACACTACGCTCAATTTTTGGTACCGTACCACTTTTTGGTTCTTGGACTACCTAAATAGGTAGTCCAAGAACCAAAAAAGTGGTACGGGTACCAATTTTATCCGTGCCGTACCAAAAATTGAGAGTAGTGTAAACGGGGCTTAAGAATCATCATCTGCAAATGGTGTATAATTTTGTTTCACTAAGCATTATCAGCAGATGGTGGTCAAGAAAATGATAGTCATTTTCTTACATTTTATGTAGTACACTTGTATTCAAGAGCGAATAAATGTAACTGAAGGCGAAGTTTGATTTTTTCTCCTATAAGTTTCAAGTTGATCAGTAGACAATTCCCATTATAGACTAATTTTTTATCTTGGCAAAAAAAGTATATACAAAGTTTGGTTGCAAAACGTTGTAAAATGCGGAAAATATAGCCTTGCTGTATACTTTTGTATTGCTTGCGGAAATTGCTACCACATTTGGGCGGAAAATGGTAGCAATTTCCGCACGCAATACAAAAGTATACAAAATTTTGCAAGGCTATATTTTCTGCATTTTACAACATTTCGCAACCAAACTTTGCAATTTTACTCATTTAAGTATGCTCTTTCTAGCTGTGATGATTATTTGCATCTCCTTGCCTAGTTTCAAAATTAGTCTACAATGGAAATTGTCTGTTGAGCTGTGTCTCCTGTACCTACCAAAAAGAGTTCAAAATTCTTCTACTCACCTCCGGCAATGCCAGTGATAAGCTGTACATACACCGACTGCGTGTCGGATGTTCCCGAATACAGCTCGCCAGAATAGTAAACACTTCCGATTATATTGCTGACGACATTTTCATCAAGGGACGAAATCACATCCTTCACGATGCTTCCATTAAGTAACACACGATCATCAAACATTATCAAATCAACTATAACCACATCATCTTTGTCATCCGAAGTACGGCCTGCGGATAGGTCTAATACAAGACAAAAGTTTGCTTTCAACTCTTTCGTTAATTAACCTAGGATTAAGCTAACCAATTTCGCTTCAAGTAAAACTATTTTAAACACCTTGGTCCTTTGAAAAAATGCTAACATAAGTCAGAATAATGAGTGACTAGATGGCATGGAGGACAATGAGATTTTCAAAACAATGAAAAGACATTATTCGAATCATTGGATCGTGACTGGATGGCATAGAGGACAATGAGATTTTCAAAAAAAAAGAAAAGACAATGAAAATTTCCAATCACTGGGTCGTGACTGGATGGCATGAAGGACAATGAGATTTTCAAAACAATGAAAAGACAATGGAATATTCCGATCACTGGATCATGACTGGATGGTATGGAGGACAATGAGATTTTCAAAACAATGAAAAGACAATGGAATATTCCGATCACTGGATCATGACTGGATGGCATGGAGGACAATGAGATTTTCAAAACAATGAAAAGACAATGGAATATTCCGATCACTGGATAATGACTGGATGGTATGGAGGACAATGAGATTTTCAAAATAATGAAAAGACAATGGAATATTCCGATCACTGGATCATGACTGGATGGCATAGAGGACAATGAGATTTTCAAAACAATGAAATGACAATGGAATATTCAAATCACTGGATCGTGACTGGATGGCGTGGAGAACAGTGAGATTTCCAAAACAATGAAAAGACAATGGAATATTCCGATCACTGGATCATGACTGGATGGCATGGAGGACAGTGAGATTTCCAAAACAATGAAAAGACAATGGAATATTCCGATCACTGGGTCGTGACTGGATGGCATGGAGGACAATGAGATTTTCAAAACAATGAAAAGACAATGAAACATTCCAATCACTGGTCCGTGACAGAATGGCATGGAGGACAATGAGATTTTCAAAACAATGAAAAGACAATGAAACATTCCAATCACTGGTCCGTGACAGAATGACATGGAGGACAATGAGATTTTCAAAACAATGAAAAGACAATGAAACATTCCGATTACTGGTTCGTGACTGGATGGCACTATTGTAAAGCTACATGTTAGGCAAACGGCAATTGCTGAAATACTGGACTTGATTGCTTACCTAAAATTCGGGCCACGAAGTCGTGCCCACTTGCGGGCTGGATTGTTCGCTTTACTTGAGGTACAGTCGTTAGGGTTGTATTGAAGTATCCGGGCGTGGACTGGGACGGAGCTTGGCGTCTCGAGACATGACGAAGTGTTTCATACATATCTTGGTATTTTGATATTAAGGTGGCTAAGTGTAGTTTTAGTTGCTTGCGGCGTTGTACGTCATCAAAGTTTGTATAGTTCTCTTTGATGATAATTCGAAATTTCCCAAGATTCACCGGGTAGCATGTGCCGTCCACGTGATGACACACGTGATCAACATCACACTCACAACGCTCCTCGCAATTTTTACCGAAATGTTTCAACGTGCAATCGTTGTCACACAAGTGCCCGCGATATCCCGGCGAACATGGACAGCGGCCGTCGATCTTGTAACACGGACCAGTCACGTGTCGAGAGCATGCCGGGCAAGGGTGCTTGCAATCCTGACCGTACGTTCCATCGTCACAGAACTAAAGTAATGAACAGATCGATTTAGGTATTAAGCGCCTGAAATAAAGAAAGAAAATAAATAAATATTGCCCTCCAGAACCACTATTTACCTGTCGACAAGTTTCTCCCCTGTAGCCAGCGTGGCACAAACACTGCCCGGTATCACCTCGACATCTCATCGTCTGGTTCCACTCACAAGAGCACTTGTTCCGGCATTCTAAACCCCACCGGCGATCTGGACACTGGTCCATACACCGGGTACCTGTGAATCCCGGCAGACATTCGCACTTTCCTTTCACTTTGTCACACTGAGCACCATTCTCGCACAGACAAACACCTAAAGGAAATAGTGAAGGATAAATTTCAGTCAAACCCTGGGCAATCGAGGATGAGAGTTGGCAAGCGAGAGTTTGTATGAGAGCATTTTCAACTCTTGTTTTTGATGTTACTCTGAGTGTATATCCACACCGGGCAGGCTGAAAAGTTAGCCTGACCACGGTGGTAATCGAACCCGCAACCTTTGGGATACTAGTCCAATGCTCTGCCAACTGAGCTACGAGGCCAAGTCTGTTCGAGTGTGTGGTATTTCGGAACTAAGTCTAGTACCTTCGATACCCGGTCCAACGAGCACAAGAGTTGCATAAGAGTTGATGAAAGTTGACTCGATACGTTATTTCATACATACATACCTACACACTTGGATCCAAACATCCCTTCAGGACACGGCTGTTCACATCTGTTCCCAGTAAACCCTTCCGGGCACTCGCACATGCCATTCACGTGGTCGCAAGATGCACCGTTTGCACAATCACATTTCAACATACAACGTTCACCATACTCTCCTTCGGGACATTCGTTTTCACAATGGTAACCATAGTAACCAGGTAAACAGAGGCACTTCCCAGTCACGCGATCACAGGATGACACTTGATCTTTGCTACAAGACTCGCAACTCTGAGAACAGTTGATCCCATATGTCATTGGCGTACACTGGCGTTCACATAGATCCCCGAAGAATCCTGCCAAGCAGAGACATCGCCCGTCGGTCGGGTGACATTCGGCGCCGTTCAGACAACGACATTTCTCCAAGCAGTCTTGACCATATCGACCAGGTGCACATGTTTGGCTGCATCTAGAAATAATATTTTAAGAAATTGTAAGATGTATGATCGATAAGATTAGGAACGGTAGATAGAGCTATCCAGTATAAATAAAGTTCGTTTAGTTTAGGTTTCCTCCTGTAGTAACACTGGATCAATAAGAGATGACCCTTACTGGACCGCCAGGAAGAACAGTTTAGAACTGATAGAGTTATCCAGTATAAATAAAGTTCGTTTAGTTTAGGTTTGCTCCTGTAGTAACACCGGAAAATAAATGGCCCGTATCAAGTCTCTATAGAGAACAGTTTAAAAGCGATAGAGCTATCCAGTATATATGATCTATTGATCAATTCTTGTAGTAACACTGGATCAATAGGAGATGATGATTCTTACTGGACCTTCAGGAAGAACAGCTTTGAATTGATAGAGGTATCCAGTTCAAATAAGGTCAGCTTAGATAAGGTTTCTTCTTGTAGTAACACTGGATCAATAGGAGATTATTCTTACTGGACCTTCAGGGAGAACAGTTTTGAACTGATAGAACTATCCAGTTTAAATAAGGTCAGCTTAGATTAGGTTTCTTCTTGTAGTAACACTGGATCAATAGGAGATGGCTCTTACTGGACCTCTAGGGAGAACGGTTTGAAACTGATAGAGCTATCCAGTATATATAAAGTTGTTTAATTTACCTTGGACCAACGTAACCCGGCCCGCATTGACACTTTCCCGTTACAGCATCACATGACCTCCCGTTACCATGGCGACACTGGCATCGTGAAGAACATCCGTGACCGAAGAAACCTTCGGGACATCTTTGTGAGCAATCGTCACCCGTCCACCCAGGCGGACACGAGCACGTGCCCAGCACGTGATCGCATGCGGCGCCATTTTGACAAGAGCACTTTGAGACACAGCTGTTTCCATAATAACCACTTGGACATGCCTCCGTACAGGTTTTACCAATCCACCCTGTCGAGCAAATACAGTTGCCCGTGACTGGCTCACATTCTGCCCCATTCATACAAATACACCTAACAGAATAGAATACAAACTTTATTTAAATTCCGAATTGCACCATCCAGCATACGTTAGAGGTCGGTGACTTACTTGTATTGACATCCACGGCCATGAAAACCACTTGGACAAGACGTATTACACTCGACCCCAGTCCACCCACGCTCACACTCGCATTTGCCACTCTGGGGATTACATGAACCATGATCAGAGCAGTTACATGTTTTGCTACATGACGTACCCCAGGTACCGCTGGGACAACTGCTGCCACAATCGGGACCATGCCAGTCAGGCAAACAGTCGCATTCTCCTGAAAAACTGCGAAAAAAATGTAATGTTTTCTACTTAGCCTGGATCACATGAACAATAAGCCAATTCAGGTTCCCGAACTGCGCAACCAAATGATGCGTTGAAATGTTGGGAGAAATTACAGTTGTTGCCATATTGATGTAAACATGATTGAATGTTGTGGCAATGTGCTGCCCACATTGTTTACAGTTGTCAACAATATTGAACAATATTGTTACACCCGATCCAGGCTCAACAATATTGTTCAATATCGTTGACAAGTGTGAACAACGTGGGCAGCACAACATTGTTCAATCCTGACTTTTTCTGTGTTGGTGCTATGTACTCAGGTGAATATGATGTTTGTGATGTTACTCTGAGTGTATATCCACATCGGGCAAGCTTGAAAAATATGCCTGGCCACGGTGGGAATCGAACCTACGTAGGTTCGTAGGTTCGATTCCAACCTTGGTCAGGCATATTTTTCAAGCTTGCCCGGTGTGGATATACACTCAGAGTAACATCACAAGCATCATTGTTCAATCCTGTTGAAATGTACTCAAATAACAATTGAACAGTTGAATACTTTGGTACGCATATTCTAATTCTTCCAGTCTGAGCTTCATGTTATAATCAACTGCAACGTATCCCGACCGCCATTAGGATGCGCAGTGGAGAAACTGAATAGGTTTATACAGACGCACTATGTATCTCTATTGTTTTACGTTTATACACAGAATAATTATAACAGACAAACTATCTTTTCTTCGCTAAGTTCGTCAAGACGGATCATTCGTTTCTGCTCATAAATACAGTCATTATATGAAGGGCAAACATTAAGAAAATGAAGACGAAATACCTGTCGCATGTTGCATTGTTCTTGCATTGACAAGAATGCCTACAGTTATGGCCCCATCGATCAGATTGACATGGTTCAGTACAGATTAACCCAGAGAATCCTTTGCCACATTTGCACACATCTGAAGGTAAAATAAACTTAAGTTTGGTAGCCTGAATAACTATCAATCATCTATCATGAATTTCAGAGAGAGCAAAATATGGCAAAAAGTGGGGGGAGGGGATTATGTATTTATCCCCCACCCCAAAGAGTGGGGGATGCCCCCCCCCCTATCCTCCCCAGGACCAGAGGTGGAAAATGTTTTTTTCTTCTTGGGAAATGGGGTTTACAGAGCGCAAAATTTTCTGCAAAAGATCACAAAGGGAAAAATAACAAAATTGACATTTGTGTCTTATTCTAGTGTGAAGCAATATATCTTTAAAGGCCCATTTCCACTCAAGAAAATTTTCCAAGGACAGAAAATTTTCCGAAAATATCATTGTTAAAAGTTGAAAACTTTCAGCTTCAAAATTTGTGTCAGCCAATCAAATTGTACAAAATTTTCTTTCTGCGGAAAATTTTCCTAGTGGAAATGGGCCTTAAGACTGATAAACAAGATAAATCCAGAAGTAATAATAGTAGTTACAGTCTTACAGGATTAAAAAACAAATTTCCTACTGCAAGCTATATAAATATTTTTTTATGAAATTGCATTCCACTGTAATTCAAGTATCGAGTTAGTAGTACCTAATTCAATCATTTCAATAATCTAAGGTATTTAGTAATTTAGATATTAAATCAGTCTAATTTTCAGAATCAGCCATCAAACATAAAAAAAAAATGTGTGTAAAAATTTCCGCACAAAAATGTAGATAAAAAAAATGTCTGGAAACAAGGTTCCCATGTTCGGATACTTTCCCACCTCTGCCCAGAATTGCCACCCATGCGTGTGAATGTTCCATACCAACCTGGCCCTGGGCCGCATTCAGCGTTAGGGGCACAAACGCAACGTTTCTTGCATCCCAAGCCATAGTTGCCTTGAGGGCACGGTTGATCGCATAATATCCCAGTATATCCCGGCGTGACACACGTGCAACTCCCGTCTGTGCGATCACAACGACCAAACGCACTACACTGACATGTCCCCGAGCAATCTGAACCATACGTACCAGAGGGACATGCGTCGTTACACGTTCTAGAACGAGAACGAGAATTCAGGGGCCTGTTTTTCGAAAGTCCAGGGTTCGTGGTCTCCAAGACCAAAAAAATTCAAAGATTTTTTCTGCCTATTTTCAAAGACTTTTCAAAGACCTTTGACAGCAATCAGCTGTCGAAAAATTGCGATGTACTGTATAAGCACCATTTTTACCAAGTACTGTAATTTGTCCCGTCAAATTACATCCTAAAATGCACTTTTTCGTCGATATTTGCGAAAATTATGCTTCAATCAATTTCTTTTATTAACTAGGAAATCGTATAATTAGATAATCGTAGACTTTCTTCGCTTTTTCACACAATTCAAAGACTTTTCGAAGCCTTAATGCCCTGCATTCAAACTTAAAGACTTTCAAGGATTTCGAAGACCTCTACGAACCCTGTTAACCCTATAGGTTAACATATAAAATTCAAAGCAAACTTCCCCAACAGCTTGTCTATAAATCTGGAAATATTTCTTCAGAGATCTTGTCTGGGTCGACTGGAGTTCACTTCTCTGAAGTTATGAAATAAACAGACGTGTAGGAATACACAAACCAAAACAGTGGGTTAAATTTTAACAGAGGGTAGCGCTAACCCACCTTTGAACAACCGACCCCAGGTGTGTTGGTGGTACAGAAGTTAAGGCTGCTTCCCAAATAGGCCAAAAAAAAAAATATGTGGGTTTCCGGTTTCTTCTTATAAAAACTTAGGTAGGGTAGGTCGGTTTCAACTTTTTTTTTAAACTTTTTTTTTTAAACTTTTTTTTTAATTTTCCGAATAAGCGGACGCCATTTTGTTTAGTCAGTGCTTCCACATCCAAAGATAAATTTCCCTAATATTGCCTCAAATTTCAATTTTCCACAAACGTTTTCCTCTAAGTGGAAACATTTAAAAGCATGATCCAATAAAAAAGTTTAGGGTCGGGATTTCGACGTCCAAAAGCTAGGTAGGGTCGGGAAACCGGAAACCCACATATTTGTTTTTTGGCCTTATGGGTAAATATCAGAATGTTGGCCATCTTACTCGATATAACTCATTGTGGAAGGGTTTTTGTGGATGGAAATTTCCAGTGGAATTTTTATATATTTATTAGACCTAACCATGCAGGAGCAGTTGCGAAAGATGCAACTGGATGGACCCTCTGGCAGGAATCGAACTTGCGGTCCTGGGATTCCCGTGCAGTGATCTAACCAACTGAGCTACAGAGTCTAGTTGTCGAGCTAGCTAATGCCTCCCAGTTAAGGGGATATGAGAAGTACTCAATTTTAAGGCGATGTTACAGGAGGCAATTTCTGACATAGAGCCATGATGTTATCTTAAAAGTAGTTGCAAGGGAAATTCTGAGCCATGACCTATGGTTGACAACAACTAGTAATATCAAATATATACTCCACATACTTTCCAGTCATCCCTGGCTGACAGATACATTCCCCAGTCACAGGGTTACACGACAGCGTTTTTTCAGAACAGAGACATTGCTTCCGACAGTGAACTCCCCAAGTGTTGTTCAAACATGGCTGATCACAAAATGGTCCTGTCCAACCTAAGAAGAACGCATTAAAGAGGTTAAGTACATTCTCACTCTCATCAACTCTCCTCCAATTTTGAACCAGCTCAAAGTTGATGACCACAAGAGTTGATGAGAATTGATTGAACATTACTACGCGCGCAGCGAAAACTCTCGTCAACTCTCAACAAAATTTGAACCAGCTCAAAGTTGATGAGAGTTGATGAGAGATGGCAATCAAACGTGAGCGAGAGTTGCATGCAACTCTTATCAACTGTCATCAACTCACATCAACTGTCGTCATCAACCGTCATCAACTCTTATCAACCGTCATCAACTCTTATCAAATGACATCAACTCTTATCAACTGACATCAACTCTTATCAACTGACATCAACTGTCATCAACTCTTATCAACTGACATCAACTCTCATCAACTCTTATCAACTGACATCAACTCTTATCAACTGTTATCAACTGTCATCAACTCTCATCCTCGTTTGACAGGAGCGTTGGTTGTTACTTATGTTGTTACCCCATTTGTTCGTGGCAGATTGCAATTTCAACCCACTTCAAAAGGAAACTAACTCCAAATCTAAACTATTCTTACAGAAATCGAATCCTGGCCACAGAAATGAAAGGCATCTAAGCACTAACAACTAAACTAACGTCATTTATAACGAGTAGTTCTATCAATTCTAAGTCCTGAGGTTACAGGCACAATTTAATATAAACAAAACATACCAGCGGTGCAATTGCATGCTCCAGTCACGTGATCACAATCCCCACTGTTCCGACACTGACACGTCTGCTTACAGTCGACACCAAAATATCCCCGGGGGCACCGGAGTTCACACCGTATCCCATAGTGTCCCGGTCCGCAGGAACAATGGCCCGTTGCTACGTTACAGCTACCATGGATATCACACGAGCACGTGTGCACACAGTCCTTGCCGTATTTTCCAACAGGGCATGGCCACTGACACAAAGGACCGTGGTAGCTTTAGAGAGAAGACAACAAAAGATTAAGTTAATCCTACAAGTATTTGAGGTGCTCAAAGTTGGTCATTCTTAACCCACTGTGCGTTTTTTTTACTGTAAATCCATACATACCCCGTGACACAGATACAGGTGAAGTTTGCTTCCCCCTCTTGGCATTCCCCTCCGTGTTGACAGGGGTTCGGGTCACACCCTATGTATTCACAGCTGTCACCATGATACCCGTCGTGGCAATGACAGGCTTCGCGAGTCTTCAGACTATCATACATACCTACGAAAAGATGAACGTCTATTTACTGAAAATCGTGTCGGTATGTAAGAAACTATCTGTAGTAGAGAGGTGACAGAGGTGTCCGAATTAGAGAGTTGTCTTTATTAGAGAGGTGTCGATATTAGAGAGGTGTGCGTATTAGTTAGAGAGGTTAGGTGTCCGTGTTAGTTAGAGAGGTTAGGTGTCCGTATTAATTAGAGAGGTTAGGTGTCCGTATTAGTTAGAGAGGTCAGGTGTCCGTATTAGAGAGGTGTCCATATTAGAGAGGTGTCCGTATTAGAGAGGTCAGGTGTCCGTATTAGAGAGGTGTCCATATTAGAGAGGTGTCTGTATTAGAGAGGTGTCTGTATTAGAGAGGTGTCCATATTAGAGAGGTGTCCATATTAGAGAGGTGTCCGTATTAGAGAGGTGTCCATATTAGAGAGGTGTCCATATTAGAGAGGTGTCTGTATTAGAGAGGTCAGGTGTCCGTATTAGTTAGAGAGGTCAGGTGTCCGTATTAGAGAGGTGTCCATGTTAGAGAGGTGTCCGTATTAGAGAGGTGTCCATATTAGAGAGGTGTCCATATTAGAGAGGTGTCCATATTAGAGAGGTGTCTGTATTAGAGAGGTCAGGTGTCCGTATTAGTTAGAGAGGTCAGGTGTCCGTATTAGAGAGGTGTCCATATTAGAGAGGTGTCCGTATTAGAGAGGTGTCCATATTAGAGAGGTGTCCGTATTAGAGAGGTCAGGTGTCTGTATTCGTTAGAGAGGTCAGGTGTCCGTATTATTAGAGAGGTTAGATGTCCGTATTAGTTAGAGAGGTCAGGTGTCCGTATTATTAGAGAGGTGTCCGTAATAGACTCAATACTCACCAGTTTTAATAATACTATCATCAGTCATTGGTTTACACTCCGCGTTCAGACTACAGTTCCTATCTCCTAGACATTCCTTTGTCGTCGCCGTTTCCTGACCAGCGGCCGCACACATGTTGTCCGTCATGTAAACACCATATAGTTCAATTCTCATGCAAATCCAATTTTTCCAATCGTGTGGAAAAATGAGAACTTTTTTAGCCAATACCGCAAATGGTAGTTCATGTTCGATGATGCCGTTTGAATCTAGGTGTCGAAAAAAAAATAACATAAAGCTACACTGAACAAACTTTATTTATGATGCTTGTGATGTTACTCTGAGTGTATATCCACACCGGGCAGGCTTGAAAAATATGCCTGGCCACGGTGGGAATTCCCTTATTCCATTACGGAATTAAGGAGTACAAAATATATCACAGTACCTAAATTTCCGGTAAATAATTTCTTGCCAGTTGAAATCCTGTACCAGGAAAAGTGTTCTCCATCGACCGATACTTTGATACCAAAGCTATGAATAAGTGGAAAATAAAAAATGTTCAAAGTGCAAGAAGTATTGGACCACAGGAGGATTTGGTCCTAGTGCCCAGAACATTTTGCAATGGAAGGAGGATGGAATGAAAAAATGAACGAAAGAGAAACAAACAAAGCAACTAGATCTGGGAAGGAAAATGGATAGATTAATTAAAGCGTGTTGCAAATGTGAGGGTTAAGAATGGCTGTTTCGCTGAAGCTTTAGCCTGCCTCCATACAAGTCCCCAGAAAGAAACCTCTGCCTTACTGATCCGGTGTTACTACAGGAGGACATCTACTCTAAACTAAATTTTTTGTACTGGATAGCTCTATCAATTCTGTCTGAACAGTCCTTCCTAGAGATGCAGTGGGGACAATCCTTTACTAGTCCTGTGTTACTACAGGAGGAAACTTAAATTAAACTAACTTTTTTATACTGGACAGCTCTATCAGTTCTGTCTGAATTGCCCTTCCTAGTAGGGATGATCCCTTACTAGTGTCCAGTGTTACTACAGAAAACTGGAGTGTTCAGAGAACTTGTGGTGCTTAGTAGAATGAGAATAGAGGTACTTGTCTTACATGTAACTGAGGTGAACCATAGGTGAAATATTTGACAATTGGCATCCCCTTCACTCTCCTTTGTCAAGGCTAGTAAGGGGTTCACCTCCCCACGCACCCACCAACACCTTTAGAGAACTATGATTCCTTAGGATGACAATAAGTAGATCATACTTACACAGTGACCCAGTAACTATTGGTCTTGCGTTTGATTTGATGTCCGCCTTGCACAGCAATACGTGAGATGAGTGCCAGCTGAGGTAGTGCTATCTCCAGGCGTACATAACCAGGATTGTGATCAGATGAACACCAGGCGTCTGGCAAGAAAATACAATCGATGTATTTTGGTTAAACAGGCTGCGATAATAGTCTAAAGGCTGCGATGAGCATGTCATATACATACTGAAATCCGGTATGCTCATGACTATGCTCATGGACATACTGTATACTGGATTTTGGTATATATACGAGCATGCTCATGAGCATACCGGATTTGGGTACTCATAAGCATATCGGAACCGTACCATGCAATGCCACACCATGCCATACCACACCATACCATACCATACCATACCATACCATACCATACTACACCACACCATACTACACCAAACCATACTACACCACATCATACCATACCATACCATACTATGCCATACCACATCATACCATACCATACCATACATCATACCACACCACATCATACCATACCACATCATACCATACCACACCACATCATACCACACCACATCATACCATACCACATCATACCATACCACACCACATCATACCACATCATACCATACCATACCATACTATGCCATACCATACCACATCATACCACACCACATCATACCATACCATACCACATCATACCATACCACACCACAATGACCACATCATACCATACCACATCATACCATACCACATCATACCATACCACACCACATCATACCATACCACATCATACCATACCACATCATACCATACCACACCACATCATACCATACCACATCATACCATACCACACCACATCATACCATACCACATACCATACCATACCATACCATACCAT